TATCTGTTATCCGATCGACGTAATTTTTTACAGGGATAATATACTTAACAAACCTTAAAATGTGAAGGGTTCGAATTATCAAAAAGAGATCCAAAAATAGGCCCAATAAGCCAAACTGGACCCTCCAATCCACTCTGGACCGGAGGCAAGCCCAACTTTTTTATAATCTCTCCCTAAATTATACTTTTTTTATTTTATTTTATATATTATGGTTTATTTTGGTAATTAGATTAAAAGTTAATTTTTTTATTTCTTAACTTTTTAAAATCATATCACTTCTTTTTTTTTATATATATATATTTAAAAAAAAATTTAAGAAATTTAAAAAATTAATTTTTAACCTACTTTTTAAAATAAACCTATATTATTTTCATTAGTCTGGCACATTGTTGTTGATCTGAGATGCCGGACTCATCTAATAACTCATCCATCAGCTTCCATTTGCAAATTTTTGTTAATCAAACTTAGCCTCCGTTTGGGAAGTGAGTTGGCTTTTTGACTTTTTGACTTTTTTGATTATTTTAGCCTGGGCTTAAAAGCTTGGTTTAGGAAGGGCTTTTTGGCTTTTTAAAGTTTTTTTGTGAAAGAAGAATGTAATGATTTGGGTTGGATGTGATGTTTTGTTTGTTATGGCTAAAATAGCCTATTTTATTTTTTGTGACTAAAATAGCCAAAAAAGCCTACAAACCCACTTGTCAAACACAGCCTATAGAAAAAGAGTATTTAGTCACTAAACTCAATGTATCATAAAATATTTAAAATACATTTTTTATTGAGTTTAATGGCTAACACTCATTTTTTCATAATGATTTAAATTGAAAACAAATAAAAAATTTAGCATTAAAATTAAAAATTTAGAATATATTTTGTTATAAGGACTCAATTTTATTATTATTTTTTTTGGGGGGGGGGGTTTGGTAATTTATCATCTTTCTTCTTTTTTTTTAATATTTTTTAAATTTTTATCACCAAATTTTTTGAGTAAATATTGTGTAGAAATTTTTTTTAAAATTTTAATTCAATTTTTTTAAAAAAAAAATTCACTAAAGACGTGATACCCATATGAACTGATGGTCCAAATTTATTTGTAGTATGGAATGATTTTTCAGTAAAAATACATAATCAAACAAGACATATAGTGTAATTTTTTCACATATCAGGAGAAATTTGTACTAAAAGTAAATCACAAAATATGAGTCACTCTATTTGGTTTAGTTTTTTGGGAAAAAAAAAAATTTATTTTTTGTATTTTTTAAAGAAAATTTATAATTTAGTATAATTTCAAAAAATTAATTACAAATACATTGAAATCCTTATGTTTTTAAATATTATAATCGATAAAGTTTACCATTAATTTGTAATTATTTTTTTCACAATTAAACGGATCTATAATTTTTTCCTTTTTTGTATATATATATCTTCAGTGAACTTTTTTTTTTTATATTTTAATTAATTTTTTTAATATTTTAGATTTACTTAATCTTGATGTATTTAAAAAGTAACATAATTGTCAAAAAAATCTACAAGAAAATTACTAAATAAAAAAATGTACTTTCGTATTTTTTTTCCCATATGTAGTGAATTTGAAAAAAAATCACAAATTTCTTACTTTTTTAAGTGCATTTACATTAGGTATATCTAAAATGTTACAGAATAATTAAAATATTAAAAAATTATTAAAAACAAAAAGAATACAAATTTCAAAAAACTAAACCAAAGAGGGTAAGTCTAATTTGTGTTGTTGTTTGTTGGAAAATTTACTTATAAATCTTGTCTTGAAGAATTGTGATCCATTTAATCGTAAAAAAAATTTATAGATCAATTAGGTTCATTGATTTTGGAAAAATAAATTTAATGTATTATTTGAAAAAGTAGATTTACGATTATACGCTTATTTCTATTATTTTCTTTTTTCCTTTTATGCTAGAAATGTAAGGTAACACAGTGTATGGTAATCAAATTTGGGATGAATTTTTATATGAATTTTTTTTTATTTGAAAAACATTTCAAAAAGAATACAAAAATGGCTTGAAATATGAGATTCTTTAAATATTCTAAAAGGATGTGCGATTTTTCAAATATTTCAAAAAAAGTACAGAAACTATTTACTAAATTTTGGGTAAATGTATAATTTTAAACTGTAATACTCTAATATAACACTCAAACGTAACACTTTAAAAAAAAATTAATTTAACACTTTAATGTAACACACAAAAAAATTTCTTAGTGTACTTTTCCCTAACGTAACACTCTAAAAAAACTCCTTAGTGTAACATTATAATATAACACACAAAAGGACTCTTTAGTGTCACACTCTAATATAAGACACAAAAAAATTCTTTAGTGTATTTTTCTCAAACGTAATACTCTAATATAACACTAATTCTTCAAACCATTCCAAAAGGAGTATAAAAATTCCTTAATAAGTTTTGGATAAATATATAATTTCAAACTGTAAGTGTCACGTTTGAAAAAAGTATACTAAGCATGTGTTTGGGAAGGCCTCTTCAGGCTATATGAGCCACATGCGACAAAAGAGCCTCATTTAGCCACATGATGCCAAAAAATGCTTGCTAGGGTTTGAAAGGAAGCCTTCTACGGGTAAATTGACCAAATTACCCTCACATCTCCTTCTGACTCATTTCGAAAAAATGCCTCACCACACACACACAACAGAACCGGCCTAGGGCACTAAAGAAGCGAACAAGGCGATCTCTCCCAACCAGCGGCGATTTGGGAAGGCCTCTTCAGGCTATATGAGCCACATGCGACAAAAGAGCCTCATTTAGCCACATGACGCCAAAAATGCTTGCTAGGGTTTGAGAGGAACCCTTCTACGGGTAAATTGACCAAATTATCCTCACATCTCTTTCTAATTCATTTCGAAAAAACACCTCACCACACACACACAACAGAACCGTCCTAGGGCACGGAAGAAGCGAACAAGGCGATCTCTCCCAACCAGCGGCGACGACATCAAAATACGGTTTCGCAGAGGCGATCGGCACCGGAGTACGCATCTGGCGGTGGAGAACAAGAACGAACCCTTTGTGATACACCACCGATTAACTGGTAACTCTTCCAAACCCTTTTGATTTCGTAGATCTGTGTGAGTGTGTGTTGCCTCTGCTTAGGGTTCATGTCTACAATCCTTTTCTCTGCATACAAGGTTACGATTTGAAAAAATTTGTATGGAGATTTGGGGACTCTCTGTTTTAAAAAATTTTCAAATTTTTTGAGTTCAGGCTGGGTTCATTACAATTTGGGTTCATTACCGACCTGTTGAAGTGCATTTTGTTTTGCTTGGGTTCACATATTTTGGGCACAGATATATATATACATATATCTGTTCTTATATATGAATTTATATTTCTGTGAGTAATGAGGGCCGGTATACGTTCATAGGTGGTTGAGATCCGTTAAACATGAAAGTTCTTCCTCTCTGATTTTTGGTTTTGCAATGATCATTAAATGTATGGAAAATTTCAGCTAAAAATTTAGAATGTTAGAAATTCATTAGGTGAATGAAATATTTACACATTGCTCCACAGCTAACTCCTAACCCATTTTCCAAATCAATCCTCAACATAACTCTGTGAAGAAGGCCGTGTTATGGTTAATGCATATCTGATTCTGCTAAAACACTCTGATGAAACACTCTGATTATTGTCAATGCATTTCGAATGTTACGAATTCAGTACCTGAATGAATTCTTATTTATCAAATTCATGTATACATAAATTCCACAGCTAGTCTCTACCCAGTTACTGTTCGTATTGTGAATGACCACTACGAATGCATGTCTGATTCTGTGAAATACCTATTGACTTGTCATGAAACCACGAGTTTATGTTACGGAATTTTATTACCAAACAAGTATGTCCATTTTTCATGTGCATGTCAATTCTGTTATACTTTCATCTCCAATGTGTTTAAAATTAAGTTCAATCTTGCATGTTATACATATTTTTTCAGTATTGTCAAACACTTGAGTCAAACAACTGACAATAATAAAACATATTTTACTAGTATAGTAATAATAATGCACATAATTATAATAAAATGCCATGGTTACAACATAACTTTGTGCAAGTGCATATGGGTCGGTAACTACTCCTACCAATATACTATTGATTGAAGATACACAATACCCTTATCATAATTCAATGTCCATGATCGGAATCAAAAATTAAATACCGTTTCTCTTTGTACGTTTTGTTGTTGATTCATGTAAATTAATAAAAAACGCCGATTGTTGTCATGGCGTAGCATGGCTTCGTTTACCTCTACTGCAACTTCCAGTACATGGCCACGAATGTGTGCCTATGGACATGGTCCCTGTGTTGTTAAGATTTCCAAGTCCACCAAAAATCCAGGGCGTGCCTACTTTGCATGTCCCCGCCCTTTGGTGAGTGACCTATTCTTTTAGGTCATAATTGTCCTTCTTTAACAACCCATGAAACTAATAGTTCCATAATTTGCACTCATCAGCCCTGTGTCAGTTGGATTGGTTGGTGCGATGAACCCAGGCGAGATAACTAAGACTATGCGTCACCTTGGGATGAATTTGTCATGCAATTGCGGGCTAATGTCATAGACATTCAACAATCCTTGCGTGCCCTTAAGACCATCGTGTATGTGCTATGCATTGTCGTTGTCATTTTGTTGTTCCGTATGTAAGCAACGTTACGATGTTTCAATATGTACAAACATGTTACTATGTTGGTTGTTTATTGGTAAGTATGTACAATAGTATGACTTTAAGCTGCCACGGGCTTCCTCCACTTCAAAACGGTAGACGTATTAATGACTATCATAACTATGTGCACTACTAACTTCCATGGAACCTGTGGTAGTATAAAATTAATGTGCAATGATTATATGCTGGGTAATTTAGCATCCTATCTCTCTATTTCTTTGTTATTAATGTGTAATGGCTTATGTCTTTGTATATAATAACCGTATGTGTGATGGTAATCTTTTGTAACCGTACATTAGTAATGGCTTCCGTACGTACTTCTCCGCATACCCAATCCAAAAGCAAAGGCATTGTCACTGACAAGTCAAGCAGTCTTGAAAATACACATAATCATTTAAGCCACAAGGCCACATGGGACAGTGCTTCAATCCGAGTTTTCCTACAGTTGATTGCAAATGAGATAACTAAAGGCAATCGCCCATTCCTAGTCCTCAGCCAAGCAGGGTACAAGTCCTTGGCACGAAAATTTGAGAGAAAAACAGAAAGAAAACATGGACTCAAACAGTTGAAGAATAAGTACATGCGTTTGAAACAAGACTGGCAAGCGTGGACACAGTTGATGGATTCAAGCAAAGGAGTGTCAGAGATAGGGTTTAACTGTGACACCAGTATGTTTTAGGCACCTGAGGAGTGGTGGGACAAGATGGAATCAGTAAGTACATGTACTCTTATGTTTCATATGTGTCATTTTCCAGTACATTTTTTGCTTTTGTAGTTAAATTTTAATTAATTATATGAAATGTAACGTCATTCTTTTTCATATATCTCTATTTCAACAGATAAACAAGGAGTGTGCCAAGTTTAGGAAAAAAAACCTTGGAACATCGTAAGTTGATGAAGACTGTCTTCATGGGGACATCAGCTACTGGTAAGCACCATTGGACCCCGGGCGAGAAACTTCCTGAAGCTGCTGATGACTCATCTGATTCAGTGCACAGTTTGGGAGCCCAGCCATTTGCTATTCCGATACCCGCAAGAGTGCAGGACGTGGATTCAGATTCTTCACTGGAGCATGTTCCGATTGAAAAGGGGAAAAAGAGAAAGACGCCATCAAGCAGTGTTTCAAAGGCCAAGAAGGCAACAAGTGGAGCGTCAGTTATTGCGGAAAGCATGAACACTCTGACAGATATGGTGCGAACGAAGAATCAGCAGGTTACGGTGAGGCACCTCACAGGCAACGAATCGCTGTTTACTATTTCGGAGTGTATGCATCGCCTGGCAGGTATTACATCACTGGTTGGTACGCCGTTATTCTACTTCGCCTCGACACTTATGGATAACGCCGATTTGCGGGAGGTGATGATGTGCCAGCCTGATGACCACTCTATCATAGGGTGGCTTACCCAGAAGTAGCTTCAGTGTACTGCGTCGGCGCCTTTCGCAAATCTGTTCGGGACTCGCCGGATGTGATGTATCGGGGTTACGAGTGTTGAAGATGCCTTTCCTTCTCTTGCATTCTAAAAACTTTTACTTATTAATTTGTTGGCACTATATTAAAACAGGATGGTTGTGTGTGCATGTTTTTGTTTTTTCTTGCTACCTATGGTTTCCAAAACTTGTAGTTCAGTGCATGGGTTGAAACAATGGAAGCATGGTTGTGCACGCTTTCTGAGAAATGAATGGGATGCTTCTGTTCAAATTAAATGTATGGATATTTTCGAGAAAGGCAACAACGGATTTGCTTGCTAGCTTTGTGTATGTTTATATTTTGCAAAGTTCGCTGTTAGTTTCATATTTGACGTCAACTTTTGTGGTTGTCACCACCATGGTCCCCCTGTAAATTCAAGTTTAGCAGGTTTACAATTTTTCCATTTTTCATATCATTATGTGTGAAAAATCTACAAGTTTAGCAGTCCTTAAATTACTATCAACATTTCGAATTTTGTAATTGCACGTTTTCAAATTTATTGACTCGATGAAGGGGAAGCAAACTGATTGAAACAGTGTGACTATTGTAGGTTTCGCATCAACGAAGACGTAATGAATCCCTGGGATGGAAGCAACAATGACGGAATAACGGAAATGCTTAATCAAATGGCGGTCCAAGTGCAACAAGAACACAACTGTACATTTCTACAAGCATGCCAGTACGCGACAGAGTGGTACCAAAAACACATGGCTAAAATGCCATGTCGCACTTCTATACTGACCGGGAATACATGGGTATCCGAACTATATGCGGGCCATATGGGCCGATTTGAGGAAAACGTGTCCATGCCGAAGGAAGTTTTTGTCGCCCTGTGTCAGACATTAATAAATGATTTTGGGTTACAAGTCCCGCAACGTCCACATGGTTTAGCTGTTGAAGAAAGCGTTGCAATGTTTATCCATGTGTTGAAAGGGAAGCAAAATCGGGAAATCCAAGAACGGTTCCAACATTCGGGGGAGACTGTGTCTCGGCACGTGCATAACGTATTAACTTCCATGAAGGAGTTCACTGTTGTTCATTGCCGGCCCACATACAATCAGCATCGTATACATCCATACGTGCGTTCTAGACGGAAATACCTACCGTTCAAGGTACTACCGAAATACATTATTCACATAGACATAAAGAGTGTTAGTTATTTTGTTTTTATTATTAACTGGACGTGATGTATGGAAAAAACAAAACATCGTATACCCTAATAAGCAACAAAATAATTGGGTTGTTTGCAGGACTGCATTGGCGCAATAGACGGAACACATGTAAGTGCATGGGTTACCGGGCCAGATGCAGCAACATATTTTGGTAGGAAATATTGTCACACGCAAAATATCATGGCCGCAGTCAATTTCAACATGTGTTTCATATTCATTTCGTGCGGATAGGAAGGAAGTATGCATGATAGTCACATATTCAACGAGATACTAACTACTAACAAATGACAATGTCCCATTCTCACATCCTGACGAAGGTAACACATGCCGATGGTTGTGGATTTAGTGGGCACAGATATAAATTTTTGGTGTCATACATTGTTGTCATGTCTGCAGGGAAATATTATCTTGTCGATTCTGGTTATCCAAATCGGACAGGTTACTTAGCACAATTCAAAGGGCAGCGTAACCACCAACAAGAATTTCTACGTATTGCACGGAACAGGACGGCAAACACGCCAAGGGAATTATTTAACAAAGTGCACTCGTCCTTACGCAGTGTGGTGGAACGCACTTTCGGTGCCTGAAAAAATCGATGGGGGTTTATTCGAGACATGCCTCGGTATGACTTTGCAAATGTGCAAGTTCTGTTAGTAGGTGCGTCAATGGTATTACATAATTATATACGGCGAAACATAGGTAATCCAACAACTGTTCACCCAATCTGTGACGAGGAAGAGGCTATGATTTTGAGAAATTTACAAGTTAGACTGGGCTTGACACTTGTTGAAATTTCAGAATGATTTACAAGTTAAAGTTAACCGAGATAATATAAACGCATAATGTGAACTTAAGTGGAACGCATAATGTGAACTTAAGTGGAACTTAGGCTCACATTAGGAGGGCAGAGAGTAGGAATGATAAATAAGCTTGAGAGCTTGGCACTTGTTGAAATTTTGAGAAATTTACAAGTTAGACTGGGCTTGACACTTGTTGAAATTTCAGAATGATTTACAAGTTAAAGTTAACCGAGATAATATAAACGCATAATGTGAACTTAAGTGGAACGCATAATGTGAACTTAAGTGGAACTTAGGCTCACATTAGGAGGGCAGAGAGTAGGAATGATAAATAAGCTTGAGAGCTTGGCACTTGTTGAAATTTTGAGAAATTTACAAGTTAGACTGGGCTTGACACTTGTTGAAATTTCAGAATGATTTACAAGTTAAAGTTAACCGAGATAATATAAACGCATAATGTGAACTTAAGTGGAACGCATAATGTGAACTTAAGTGGAACTTAGGCTCACATTAGGAGGGCAGAGAGTAGGAATGATAAATAAGCTTGAGAGCTTGGCACTTGTTGAAATTTTGAGAAATTTACAAGTTAGACTGGGCTTGACACTTGTTGAAATTTCAGAATGATTTACAAGTTAAAGTTAACCGAGATAATATAAACGCATAATGTGAACTTAAGTGGAACGCATAATGTGAACTTAAGTGGAACTTAGGCTCACATTAGGAGGGCAGAGAGTAGGAATGATAAATAAGCTTGAGAGCTTGGCACTTGTTGAAATTTTGAGAAATTTACAAGTTAGACTGGGCTTGACACTTGTTGAAATTTCAGAATGATTTACAAGTTAAAGTTAGTCGAGATAATAGGGCAAGGGGTATCCGAGGTATTCATTACCTAAGATAACCAACCAAGCTGTCAGGCTTAGAAGGGTTGGAAGGGTGAAGTCTTACTAGAAGACAGCAAGAACAAATGAAGAAAGAACACTTGTAAAAATATTTTGAATAAAATATTCTTAACTATGGTTTGACCGAGATCACAATAAAAGGATAACTCCGAGGTTAATTAGACCGAGGTGACCAATTAAGGGTGCACCTGAGATAAAACGGGTCCACAATGATGCTTGGCCGAGGTATTCTAACTTGAAGTGATCACATAAGAAATTGGTACTTAGCGTGTGTTTGGGAAGGCCTCTTCAGGCTATATGAGCCACATGCGACAAAAGAGCCTCATTTAGCCACATGACGCCAAAAATGCTTGCTAGGGTTTGAAAGGAACCCTTCTACGGGTAAATTAACCAAATTACCCTCATTTCTCCTTCTGATTCATTTCGAAAAAACACCTCACCACACATACACAACAGAACCGTCCTAGGGCACGGAAGAAGCGAACGAGGCGATCTCTCCCAACCAGCGGCGACGACATCAAAATACGGCTTCGCAGAGGCGATCGGCACCGGAGTACGCATCTGGCGGCAAAGAACAAGAATGAACCCTTTGTGATACACCACCGATTAACTGGTAACTCTTCCAAACCCTTTTGATTTCGTAGATCTGTGTGAGTGTGTGTTGCCTCTGCTTAGGGTTCATGTCTACAATCCTTTTCTCTGCATACAAGGTTACGATTTGAAAAAATTTGTATGGAGATTTGGGGACTCTCTGTTTTAAAAAATTTTCAAATTTTTTGAGTTCAGGCTGGGTTCATTACAATTTGGGTTCATTACCGACCTGTTGAAGTGCATTTTGTTTTGCTTGGGTTCACACATTTTGGGCACAGATATATATATATATATACATATATTTGTTCTTATATATAAATTTATATTTCTGTGAGTAATGAGGGCCGGTATACGTTCATAGGTGGTTGAGATCCGTTAAACATGAAAGTTTTTCCTCTCTGATTTTTGGTTTTGCAATGATCATTAAATGTATGGAAAATTTCAGCTAAAAATTCAGAATGTTAGGAATTCATTAGGTGAATGAAATATTTACACATTGCTCCAGAGCTAACTCCTTACCCATTTTCCAAATCAATCCTCAACATAACTCTGTGAAGAAGGCCGTGTTATGGTTAATGCATTTCTGATTCTGCTAAAACACTCTGAAGAAACACTCTGATTATTATCAATGCATTTCGAATGTTACGAATTCAGTACCTGAATGAATTCTTATTTATCAAATTCATGTATACATAAATTCCACAGCTAGTCTCTACCCAGTTACTGTTCGTATTGTGAATGACCACTACGAATGCATGTCTGATTCTGTGAAATGCCTATTGACTTGTCATGAAACCACGAGTTTATGTTACGGAATTTTATTACCAAACAAGTATGTCCATTTTTCATGTGCATGTCAATTATGTTATACTTTCATCTCCAATGTGTTTAAAATTAAGTTCAATCTTGCATGTTATATATATTTTTTCAGTATTGTCAAACACTTGAGTCAAACAACTGACAATAATAAAACATATTTTACTAGTATAGTAATAATAATGCGCATAATTATAATAAAATGCCATGATTACAACATAACTCTGTGCAAGTGCATATGGGTCGGTAACTACTCCTACCAATATACTACTGATTGAAGATACACAATACCCTTATCATAATTCAATGTCCATGATCGGAATCAAAAATTAAATACCATTTCTCTTTGTACGTTTTGTTGTTGATTCATGTAAATTAATAAAAAACGCCGATTGTTGTCATGGCGTAGCATGGCTTCGTTTACCTCTACTGCAACTTCCAGTACATGGCCACGAATGTGTGCCTGTGGACATGGCCCCTGTGTTGTTAAGATTTCCAAGTCCACCAAAAATCCAGGGCGTGCCTACTTTGCATGTCCCCGCCCTTTGGTGAGTGACCCATTCTTTTAGGTCATAACTGTCCTTCTTTAACAACCCATGAAACTAATAGTTCCATAATTTGCACTCATCAGCCCTGTGTCAGTTGGATTGGTTGGTGCGATGAACCCAGGCGAGATAACCAAGACTATGCGTCACCTAGGGATGAATTTGTCATGCAATTGCGGACTGATGTCATAGGCATTCAACAATCCTTGCGTGTCCTTAAGACCATCGTGTATGTGCTATGCATTGTCGTTGTCGTTTTGTTGTTCTGTATGTAAGCAACGTTACAATGTTTCAGTATGTACAAACATGTTACTATGTTGGTTGTTTATTGGTAAGTATGTACAATAGTATGACTTTAAGCTACCACGGGCTTCCTCTACTTCAAAACGGTAGACGTATTAATGACTATCATAACTATGTGCACTACTAACTTCCATGGAACCTGTGGTAGTATAAAATTAATGTGCAATGGTTATATGCTGGGTAATTTAGCATCCTATCTCTCTATTTCTTTGTTATTAATGTGTAATGGCTTACGTCTTTGTATATAATAACCGTATGTGTGATGGTAATCTTTTGTAACCATACATTAGTAATGGCTTCCATACGTACTTCTCCGCATACCCAATCCAAAAGCAAAGGCATTGTCACTGACAAGTCAAGCAGTCTTGAAGATACACATAATCATTTAAGCCACAAGGCCACATAGGACAGTGCCTCAATCCGAGTTTTCCTACAGTTGATTGCAAATGAGATAACTAAAGGCAATCGCCCATTCCTAGTCCTCAGCCAAGCAGGGTACAAGTCCTTGGCACGAAAATTTGGGAGAAAAATAGGAAGAAAACATGGACTCAAACAGTTGAAGAATAAGTACATGCGTTTGAAAAAAGACTGGCAAGCGTGGACAAAGTTGATGGATTCAAGAAAAGGAGTGTCAGGGATAGGGTTTGACTGTGACACCGGTATGTTTCAGGCACCTGAGGAGTGGTGGGACAAGATGGAATCGGTAAGTACAAGTACTCTTATGTTTCATATGTGTCATTTACCAGTACATTTTTTGCTTTTGTAGTTAAATTTTAATTAATTATATGAAATGTAACGTCATTATCTTTCATATATCTCTATTTTAACAGATAAACAAGGAGTGTGCCAAGTTTAGGAAAAAAACCTTGGAACATCGTGAGTTGATGAAGACCGTCTTCATGGGGGCATCAGCTACTGGTAAGCACCATTGGACCCCGGGCGAGAAAGTTCCTGAAGCTACTGATGACTCATCTGATTCAGTGCACAGTTTGGGAGCCCAGCCATTTACTATTCCGATACCCGCAGGAGTGCAGGACGTGGATTCAGATTCTTCACTGGAGCATGTTCCGATTGAAAAGGAGAAAAAGAGAAAGACGCCATCAAGCAGTGTTTTAAAGGCCAAGAAGGCAACAAGTGGAGCGTCAGTTATTGCGGAAAGCATGAACACTCTGACAGATATGGTGCGAACGAAGAATCAGCAGGTTACGGTGAGTCACCTCACAAGCAACAAATCGCTGTTTACTATTTCGGAGTGCATGCATCGCCTGACAGGTATTACATCACTGGTTGGTACGCTGTTATTCCACTTCGCCTCGACACTTATGGATAACGCCAATTTGCGGGAGGTGATGATGTGCCAGCCTGATGACGACTCTATCATAGGGTGGCTTACCCAGAAGCAGCTTCAGTGTACTGCGTCGGCGCCTTTCGCAAATCTGTTCGGGGCTCGCCGGATGTGATGTATCGGGGTTACGAGTGTTGAAAATGCCTTTCCTTCTCTTGCATTCTAAAAACTTTTACTTATTAATTTGTTGGCACTGTATTAAAACAGGATGGTTGTGTGTGCATGTTTTTTTTTTTTCCTTTGTTTTTGTTTTTTCTTGCTACCTATGGTTTCCAAAACTTGTAGTTCAGTGCATGGGTTGACACAATGGAAGCATGGTTGTGCACGCTTTCTGAAAAATGAATGGGATGCTTCTGTTCAAATTAAATGTATGGATATTTTCGAGAAAGGCAACAACGGATTTGCTTGCTAGCTTTGTTTATGTTTATATTTTGCAAAGTTCGCTGTTAGTTTCATATTTGACGTCAACTTTTGTGGTTGTCACCACCATGGTCCCCCTGTAAATTCAAGTTTAGCAGGTTTACAATTTTTCCATTTTTCATATCATTATGTGTGAAAAATCTACAAGTTTAGCAGTCCTTAAATTACTATCAACATTTCGAATTTTGTAATTGCACATTTTCAAATTTATTGACTCGATGAAGGGGAAGCAAACTGATTGAAACAGTGCGACTCTTGTAGGTTTCGCATCAACGAAGACGTAATGAATCCCTGGGATGGAAGCAACAATGACGGAATAACGGAAATGCTTAATCAAATGGCGGTCCAAGTGCAATAAGAACACAACTGTACATTTCTACAAGCATGCCAGTATGCGACAGAGTGGTACCAAAAACACATGGCTAAAATGCCATGTCGCACTTCTATACTGACCAGGAATGCATGGATATCCGAACTATATGCGGGCCATATGGGCCGATTTGAGGAAAACGTGTCCATGCCGAAGGAAGTTTTTGTCGCCCTATGTCAGACATTAATAAATGATTTTGGGTTACAAGTCCCGCAACGTCCACATGGTTTAGCTGTTGAAGAAAGCGTTACAATGTTTATCCATGTGTTGAAAGGGAAGCAAAATCGGGAAATCCAAGAATGGTTCCAACATTCGGGGGAGACTGTGTCTCGGCAAGTGCATAACGTATTAACTTCCATGAAGGAGTTCACTGTTGTTCATTGCCGGCCCACATACAATCAGTATCGTAGACATCCATACGTGCGGTCTAGACGGAAATACCTACCGTTCAAGGTACTACCGAAATACATTATTCACATATACATAAAGAGTGTTAGTTATTTTGTTTTTATTATTAACTGGACGTGACGTATGGAAAAAACAAAACATTGTATACCCTAATAAGCAACAAAATAATTGGGTTGTTTGCAGGACTGCATTGGCGCAATAGACGGAACACATGTAAGTGCATGGGTTACCGGGCCAGATGCAGCAACATATTTCGGTAGGAAATATTGTCACACGCAAAATATCATGGCCGCAGTCGATTTCGACATGTGTTTCATATTCATTTCGTGCGGATGTGAAGGAAGTATGCACGATAGTTGCATATTCAACGAGATACTAACAAATGACAATGTCCCATTCCCACATCTTGACGAAGGTAACACATGCCGATGGTTGTGGATTTAGTGGGCACAGATATAAATTTTTGGTCTCATACATTGTTGTCATGTCTACAGGGAAATATTATCTTGTCGATTCTGGTTATCCAAATCGAACAGGTTACTTAGCACCATTCAAAGGGCAGCGTTACCACCAACAAGAATTTCGACGTATTGCACGGAATAGGACGGCAAACACGCCAAGGAAATTATTTAACAAAGTGCACTCGTCCTCACGCAGTGTGGTGGAACGCACTTTCGGTGCCTGGAAAAATCGATGAGGGTTTATTCAAGACATGCCTCGGTATGACTTTGCAAATGTGCAAGTTCAGTTAGTAGGTGCGTCAATGGCATTACATAATTATATACGGCGCAACACAGGTAACCCAACAACTGTTCACCCAATCTGTGACGATGAAGAGGCTATGACAATAGTAAATGCCATACCAGAAGTTGAACATGACGAGGATGGTTTAATGGTTGGGGATGAGGACCCGCATATGGCATTGGTGCGCCTTCACATATGCGACAAATTATGTTACATGCGTAATAACAGAGTGTTAGGAAATATATAATAGTGGACCTAATTTCCGTAGGGTTGTAACATTACTAATGACACACGTGGAACATACTATATTGAAATATATTATCATGTACAATATGTATGTGTTTACACAGGGATATACCCCCTTCCACTTGGTGACGTGCCTAACTTTGAAAAACCAAAATTCACAAGATTGTAAAAGAAAATCCATTTTTTAAAAATTAAAAAAAGAAGTTAATGTGAGTGAATAAGAAAATGACAAAATCGTAAATTTAAAAAAAAAAACGAAAAAAATACTCCTCATTCAAAAACATTTAAAAAAAAAATGAAAACATAAATCACCATTCACCACGTAATTTACAAATAAATGAAACACATAAATAACAACAAAAGTTCTTCTATACCAATAAAAATAAAGAACAAGAACTAATTCATGTAAAAAAAAAAAAGACAAAAACATAAATTTAAAATGCTAATTTTTTTTTTTAGCAAAATACGCCAAATCTAAACCCAAAATAAAAAAAATTAAAACTTTAAAAATAATGAAAGAAAAAAACGCCAAATCCACTTTCAAAATAAAAAATAAAAAAAAATTACGAAAACTACGCCAAATCCAAACCCAACAAAAAAAAATTTAAAAAGCAAAATATGCCAACCCGAAACCCAAAATAAAAAAAATTTAAAAAAAAATTAAGCAAAAAACGCCACATCCAAATCCAAAATTAAAATAAAGAAATTAATTAATTAATTAAGCAAAATATGGGAAATCCAAACCCAAAATAAAAAAATAAAAAAAAAACATAAGCCAAAAAGGGCAGTTTGGTAATTTAACAGGATGACACCTCACCAAAAAGTCAAAAAGCCAAAAAATTCAAAAAGTCCTTCCCAAACTAGGCTTTTGAGCCCCAGACTCAAATAGCTAAAAAAAGCTAAAAAGTCAACCCATTTCTCAAACGGAAGGTAAGGATTTTTTTTAGTATTTTTGTGTGTATTACATTGGAGTGTTACGTTGGAAAAAGTACACTAAAAGGTTTCTTTTTAATGTTACATTGTTATGTTTGAAAAAAATATATGAAAGAGTTTTTTAATGTGTTACATTGGATTGTTATGTTATTGGAGTGTTTTACGTTTTTGTTCGTGATGTGAGATTTGTTCTGATATGAGGGAAAATCCAAAACTTCTATAGTACAAATTACCTAAATATGTAATTTTATATTTTGAAAAATCTACTTTTATTATTAAAAAATAAAATCTAAACATGTAAATGACTATCCTTTTGTATAATTTTCACTGTAATGAGACCTTCAAATTTATAAATAAATAAATAAAAAATTAAACAATTTATAATATCATATTTTATGATTTAGGGATACTTCACTTTTTTTTTCTTCGTGCTTATCTTTATTACCATAATTGGTAATCAAATGCGACCTCCTACGAGGAAGTGAGTTAATTTCTTGATTATTTTAGTTTGAATTAAAAAGTCTTATCTCAGATAAATTTTTTCTTTTTTTAATTTTCATGAGAGAAAAATTAAAATCGTTATGATTTGTATATAATATTTTATCTTATTAATTTATTTTATTATTTTATGATTATTTTAATCCCAACTTAAGATGCCAAACCCACCGGGTGATATGGCTCCATCATCATGTATACAACATTTGAAAGTGCATGCACATTCGCATATACATACATTTAAATACTGTGAAAAAGCAAACTGAAAGATTCCGAGAAAGACAGAGAAAGCGACCCCAAATGCCGGCATATGACCCACGCCTTTAAAGGGTAATGGTACATCTCACTAAAAGTGATACTCTAAAACACTATTAATGAATTGGTAAGTATTTAAAAAAAAATAAAAAATAAGACACAAGCAGTGGGCTCCGTTCATTACCACATCACTAGTAGTGCTTTTAGAGCACCACTTTTAATAGCCTCAAGCATTATTGCACCTTTAAATTCCAAGTCTGCTCCTCCCCTAATAAATAAATCAAATAAATCTATAAATCAAATAAAAATTTCAAACCTCTCAATTGAATTGAATAAATATATTTTTGTAAATTTGAATTATAAAATAATAATTTTAAATAATCAAATCTGAATTCTCAAAAATATGTTGGACCGCCAGTAATCCCATCCATAAAGATAAAAGGCCATGTTTGATTCACAACACTAATAGTGAGGTATTAATAATCCTATTAAATTAGTGTGGTATTAGTTATCCCACCCCTACCCCATTACTAATAATCCTACAAATTTGTTGGATTAATTATCCATTGGATTAATAATCCTAAACCAAAATGTCAAAACAAACATAGGATGATTGGGCCCACGGATTAATAATTCCAATCCTATGCTTTAATCCTTCCAACGTTTTGTTTTACCAAATTACCAGTTTTACAGGGCGCGTGGAGATCAAAATCACGTAAGATAATAAGGGCTTGTTTAAGAATAAATTGTTTTAATAATTTTTTAATTTTTTTAATTAAATGATGTGTTAAAAAAATAAAAAGAATGTTGTGCTAACTTAATTTGTTTGACAACTTTTAATTTTAATTAAAAAGTTGAAAAATTATTATAAGTTACTAAAATTAAATAAATGAGTAATGATACATCTTTTAATTTTAAAATTTTAATTAAGCTCTAATGATGTGACAAGAAAGGAAAAAAAATCAAAACATCACATAAATAGGTGAGATCCACCCCCTGAAACTTATTTAGAACTCTTATTTTAGACCTCTCAAATATTTTACTTAAATAAATTAAGGGTGAATTACACTTTGCCCCCTCTAAAGTTTCACTCATTTTCCACTTTCATCCTTTAAGTTTAATTTTTCTCACTTTGACTTTTCATGTTTGCAATCCTTCCCACTTTGACCCTTTAAATTTAATTTTTTCTACTTTGGCCTTTCATATTTATAATCCATCCCACTTTGTCCCTTTATATTTGCAATCATTCCCACTTTATTCTTGGACTAACTTTCATCAAAAAAATTAACAGAATCTGCCACATCACTAATACATCAACTCTATGTGTGATGTAAAAAATTCATTAAAAATGCAAACAAATAAAAAATAGAAAACAAAAAAATTAGAATTTTTTTTAGTCTTTAGTAAATGTTTTTTAAATTTATTCATAAACATTATTACATTATAGATGTATCTAGATTAGATGTGGCTACACAAATAAAAACAAATTTAACTAAAAAAAAATTTACTAATGACGAAAAAAATGAAAATGTACGGACTCAAACACCTGTATTGTCAATTATGAAATGAAAAATTTATTATCATTTTTTTTCATCTTTAGTAAACTTTTTTTTTCTTTTAGTTAAATTTATTTTTATTTTTCTAGCTGCATCTATAATATAATAATATTTATGAATAAATTTAAATTTTTTTTATTAAAGACTAAAAAAAAATTTAAATTTGAATTTTTAATTTTTAATTTTTTGTATCTTTAATGAATTTTTTACATAATATATGGAGTTAATGTGTTAATGATGTGACAAATTCTGTTATTTTTTTGAATATAAATTAGTCTAGGAGTAAAGTGAAAAGGATTGTAAAGGGCCAAAGTGAAAGAGATTATAAACATAAAGGGTCAAAATGGAAAAAATCAAATTTAGAGAGCCAAAATGTTACATAACATATGAAGTTAATGGGTTAGTAATGTGATAAATTATGTTACTTTTTTGGATAGAAATTAGTCTAGGAGTAAAGTGAGAAGGAATGCAAGATGAAGGGTCAAAATGAAAAAAATCAAATTTAAAAGACCAACGTGAAAAAGATTGCAAATAAGAAAGATTGTAAATATAAAAAGTTAAAATGAAAAAAATCAAACTTAAAGGCCATGGGGGAAATGAGTGAAACTTTAAGGGGCAAACTGTAAATTAACGGTCGGAAAACTAAGAACCCAACATCATGTGGAGAGACACACAGAGAGTTGTATGTATCCAAGGTGGTTTCATACTACAAAGCATAAGAAGCATAATATGTACAAACCATGATTAGTTTTCATTAATCAGACCCACTCTCTTTGCCTCTCAAAAACACATACAAACGAACAAACAAAAAACAAGAAATGATTTTTCAAAAAAAATACAGAGTGACTACTACGATTTCACAAACGTCGTCGTTCATCAAAGCCACAACGGTGGAGGCTCATTCAAATCAACCCCCAACCCACGTCTCCCCACCCCAAAATACCCACTCTCCGGCGCCGCCACTCCGGCGCCGCCACTCACCGCCGCGTCGCCACTCGTCGTGGCGCCTCCCTTGAGAACACCAGTAAGTAGGAACTCTCCGATGACGTGGCGGCCAACGGACGGCGAGATCCAGAGGTGATCGGAGGGCACGTTGAGGTCGAGAAGGGGGCCAGGAAAGTTGGTCTTGGCCTTGCCACCACGGAGAGAGCGAGCTGCGTCGTCGTAGGCTAGAGCGGCCTCGACAGGGGTGTCGAAAGTGCCTAACCAGACTCGGGTTTTCTTCCATGGGTCTCGAATCTCTGCTGCGTAGCGACCCCACGGCCTCTTTCTAACTCCTCTGTAGTGTCCCTCTTTTGGAGACGCCATGAATGAGTGAAAAGGTTTCGGAGAGAGAATGGGAGATTTTAGAAAGAGAGGGGGGTGGAGCAGGAGCCTTAAAAGGGTGAGAGAGAGAGAGAGGGACCTACTCGAGCCATCCGTAATCGTCGGCTGGACGGCACGACTCCAGTTAAGTGGCGTTAGGTTCCTCTAGAGTGATCTTCTACAGTAAACAGAGGAGTCTGACACGTGTCCTATTTATCAAACGAAAGATTGATATTTAAACTCTTCAAAATGATGTCGTTTCGGTGAATAAATTACAAAAAAAAAAAAATTTTTAATTTAAGGTTGTGTTTTGTAATCATGATTCTACACCTTGATTCAAGTATAATGTTTGGTAAGAGTTTTGAAATCACATTTTCAAAACTCTGCACAAAACACTCTATCTGAGGCGCGATTTTTGGAATTTTTTTTTCAAATTTCGCCTAACCGGTCGTCCTACCGGTTGACCGAAACAGTGCATTTTTTTTCTTGCAATTGACATATGTTAATTTTTATATATTCAAAAAAAAATATTTTCCGAATTTTTAATTTTTTTTATGTGTTTTAATCGAATTTTGAGTTGTGTGTTTAGTTATGAGTTATAAGTTTTTGTATCAAATATCATATGTCACATCAAAAATTCTCCGCTCAATTCAAAACTCTTCACCAAACAAATTTTCTACACTCAAATCATAATTCTAAAACTCACAAACTCAAAATACAACTTTTAGACTCTCAAATCATATTTACAAAACTCTACCAAACGTAACCCAAAATTATGGGTTTCACTTTTCACTCAGTTCCTGGGGAGAATTAGAGAGAGAGAAGGGACCAGAGCTTGGCAACAACATCTCCATCTTTGGCGACTGGAGAAAAGAAGCAATATTGGTGGCTTAGCAACAGAAAGGTATTTCAAACACCTTGATGATGATGATCGAATTTTGAGTTGTGTGTTTAGTTATGAGTTATAAGTTTTTGTATCAAATATCATATGTCACATCAAAAATTCTCCACTCAATTCAAAACTCTTCACCAAACAAATTTTCTACACTCAAATCATAATTCTAAAACTCACAAACTCAAAATACAACTCAGACTCTCAAATCATATTTACAAAACTCTACCAAACGCAACCCAAAATTATGGGTTTCACTTTTCACTCAGTTCCTGGGAAGAATTAGAGAGAGAGAAGGGACCAGAGCTTGGCAACAACATCTCCATCTTTGGCGACCGGAGAAAAGAAGCAATATTGGTGGCTTAGCAATAGAAAGGTATTTCAAACACCTTGATGATGATGATGATGATGATGATGATGAGATAGTTACATTTCGTTTCGTGATTTGCATTCAATCCCTAACATTTATGTATTTTTGCACAGATTATAGATAAATATATCAAAGATGCGAGAATCTTGAGTATCCATGGTAGAGGTTTTGGTGAGTTGATGGCAGATGTTAATGTGATACGAAGAGGTGGCAGTTATGGATGAAATGGGGTTTGGGGGAACTAATATTTTTTGGGTGGGAAAGAATAAAATGGTGATTGTCCAACAGTTGCGGTTGGCGTCGATGCCAATTTGGGGCATCCTCTGTTTTTTGGTAGAGAGAAAATAAAAAAGAGAGATGAAAGATTATTGTTCAAATTGTGAAATTAAATAAATAGATTTATGAAGAAATCAAATTATATACTAAGAACATATGCGGATAATTACAATTAAATTTCAACAGAAATACACCAAACAATAAAAGGGTAAAGAGACGAAATCGAAGCTTGCACGAGCAGTTTCCTTAAACAGATTTCGCCTCCTCACGGGTCGAGTGCTTGAGGAATCCCGGCGTCTGTCTCCCAGGATACGACGGTCAAAACCAGCTACAGCAGAAGCACTTTCTGTCTAGTTTAGCGAACAAGAACAGTGACAGCACTCTCTCAATGTAAGAACTTTCTGGCAAACTGACTTGCAAAATAGAAGCAAAAAATTTCTATATTAAAACTTGATAGGAGGGTCTCAATTTATATATGTAAAGGGGAGAGTAGAAGAGCCTTCAGCCTTTAAGGCTGGTCACTAAAACACTAAGCATCCATAGTCCCTTTCCAAAAATATGAAAGTTTGGATGCCCAAAGAATTCACACCCTTTAGTCAAGAAAAATGATTAAAATAATCTGAAAAAGGATTAAAATAATCTTTAAAATCCTATTCATGAATCTAACATCATGAGGCAATTTCTTGGCAATTTCTTATTCAAAACCCAATGATTTTTGGCTCACTTGGATCTAACACAGTAAAAGGTTGGAACCCACTTTTATATTTAATTAAAGTCACCACACTTTAATATTAAATTAAAGTCACCAAAAATCATTTTTTCCAACAATCCCCCACATGAATAAAAATTGACCGAAAGACTCAACAAACGGACATCGTTCAAAAATAATGACTCGAAGGGAGAGTACAACGAACTAACCCCGACATCAGAGAAGGTAGCTTTTGGTTTTGAACCTCTCCCAATGAAAACCTATCGAGTTTACTGGCTGATCAGTGAATAAGACATCTTGAACTGCTCTGCCGTTTATGTAAACTGAGACAATAGATCTCACACGAGAATTACTCCTACCACCATTCTGTTCTCACTGGTGTGCCCTATGTGGCCCTGGACACTAGCCTGGTTCAGCGAGTGGTTTCAAAGAATCTTGGCCTGCCCAATTCTTCTAGAAGCGGCCTCACTTCACACTCACATAGGTGACTCTACTTGAATATTATTGCAATATTCAACTCAACAGCTTAACATACTAGAGTCATTAAAAGCTCAACTTAACCTCTACACTTGCAGGTATCACTGATAGAAGAAATGGCTGGAGGTTTAACCTCCTCAGTGACATACCACCGTTACACGCAATTAGGTTGTCCCATTGAACCTAGATCTTGGGATCTCCAATCAACTAGGTTGGGTTTCCATTCCGGTAACTTCTAAAGGCCTCAACCCCATTCCTTTTGACGACGTTTCGACTAACACTCGACTTAACCCTTTGGTTAGCGGATCCGCAATGTTGTCCTTAGACTTTACATAGTCTAAAGAGATAACTCCATTCGGGAGTAGTTATCGTATGGAATTACGTCTACGACGGATATGTCTAGACTTTCCATTATACATATTACTCTGTGCCCTACCAATTGTAGATTGACAATCACAATAAATACAAATAGCTGGCATAGGTTTAGACCAACGTGAAATATCTTTAATGAAATGGCGAAGCCATTCTGCTTCTTCCGTTGCTTTATCCAAAGTAATAAACTCTGATTCCATCGTTGATCTAGATATACACGTTTGCTTGGAAGATTTCCAAGACACGGCTGCCCCACCAAGAGTAAACACATATCCACTAGTGGACTTTGAGTCCTTTATATCTGATATCCAATTCGCGTCACTATATCCTTCAAGCACCGCTGGATATTGAGTATAATGCAGCCCATAATCCCGAGTGTAGCGTAAATACCTTAACACCCGTGCAATGCCCTTCCAATGAGAAGCAATGGGATTACTTGTGTATCTACTAAGCCTGCTAACGGAGTAAGCTATATCCGGCCTAGTACAACTCATCAGATACATTAAACTTTCAATTACCCGAGAATATTCTAACTGTGAGACACTTTCATTATTATTCTTGGTAAAATATAGACTTATGTCTACAGGTGTGGATGACACACTCGTATCTGATCCACTAAACTTCTCAAGTATCTTATCAACATAATGAGACGGAGAAAATACAATTCCGCCAGAGATTCTGGTAATCTTAATTCCTAGAATAACATCTGCAATGCCCATATCCTTTATGTCAAACTTAGAGTTTAACAATTTCTTGGTAGTTTTGATCATTTCATCGTTACCACCTATAATGAGCATATCATCAACATATAGACACAAAATGACATAACCTCTGTCAGTGTCTTTGACATAAATACACTTGTCACATTCGTTGATTCTAAACCCATTTGACAACATTATATTGTCAAACTTCTCATGCCATTGTTTAGGCGCTTGTTTCAAACCATACAAAGATTTGACAAGTTTACAGACTTTCTTTCTTTGTCTTGGAGCAGAAAACCCTTTAGGTTGCTCAATGTAGATTTCTTCATTCAAATCTCCATTTAAGAAAGCTGTCTTTACATCCATCTGGTGTATCTCAAGATTGCGCAAAGCTGCTATCGCAATCACCATGCGAATGGATGTCATCCTAGTTACAGGTGAGTACGTATCAAAGTAATCCAGGCTTTCTCGTTGCCTGTACCCTTTAATAACGAGCCTCGCCTTATACTTGTCAATTGACCCATCAGCCTTTATTTTTCGTTTAAAAATCCATTTGCAGCCTAAAGGCTTGCAACCTGGAGGTAAATCTACCAACTCCCAGGTGTGGTTCTGTAAGATGGAGTCAATCTCACTTTTGATCGCTTCTTTCCATAAAGAACTCTCAGGAGAAGTCACAGTTTCGTGGAAAGTTTGAGGTTCATTCTCAACCATATAAGTCAAGAAGTCTGGACCAAAAGATTTGGATATCCTAACCCTTTTACTCCTTCTGGGCTCATCTAAAACCTCAATTTGATCATCACCTTGATCATCAACATCATCCTCACTAGCAAGCTCATCAAATTGCTCCAAAGACCTTTGGAACCCCTTCATGAGTTCGGCAAGGAAAAATGTCTTCAAAGAAACATGCATTCCTTGACTCCATGATGGTATCTGTGTATGTCTAGAATTTCAGACTTATGACAAAAAATCGATATGACACTACTATTATGTGCATAACCAATGAATATACAATCCACGGATTTCAGGCCTATCCTAACCCGTTTGGGTGTAGGAATCGCCACTTTTGCAAGACACCCCCACATTCGTAAGAATTTATACGAAGGCTTAACGCCTTTCCATAACTCATACGGCGTCTGTCCACCTTCTTCTGGGTACTTTATTCAGAATGTAATTTACAGAGAGATGCTTCCTCCACAAGTTCTGTGGCAATCCAGAACTTATCAACATTGCATTCATCATTTCCTTTAACGTCCTACTCTTCGCTCAGAATCCCATTAGATTGACGGAGAATA